GGAAGGTGACCTGCAATGAACTTGCATATTATCCAGGGGAAGTTGCAACACTCCTAGTGGTTTCATGGGAGACTGGAATGAACTTTGCAACTCGAGGTCCCCTTGACTCAAGTGCAGACTTTATATTTTTCTTTTACTAATTGAGATAATTTTGTGTGCATTGTTGCAGTTGCGTGATTTAGTGAGCCGGTGTATTAAATCTGACCCAGACCAGAGGCCAGGTATCACAAAAGTCAATGAAGTGGCACAAATGATGCATGCAGGCAATCTTCACCAGTTCCCCTCTTCCCCCCAAATGAAACAATAATTTAAAGAAACTTGATGTGTAATATCAGTGATACACTGAGTAATTTATTACAAATATTAATGCCCAAAAATTCTTGGTTGATTGTGCCTTGTAACATATCTTAATCTTAAGAAATTGATTGAAAATAAAGAAATTCCAATCAAAAGAGAGAAACCTGGAGATGAATATGGATGGTCAAAGATTTAAAACTTCAAAATTCCAACTGATCTTCTAACCATAGAGTGATGTTTGGGTTCCCACGTCCTTTTAATTGACTTAACTTAAGAACTTTTCTCAGTGGATACAATGTAATCGGTTTTCAAACATTCAATTCACAGTGAACTGCATGCAAAATTGAATTTCATGGAGAGAAATTGAATAATTATGGCAACACTTCATTGCACAGATGCATGAACTTATTTATTCATACTGCAGAAATAATCAGCTGCAATTCTGCACCTCTACATTTTGTAGTTTTTTTTGTATTCTGTTGAAAAGGATAGTGAAGTTGCCTGAGACTCCATTAGGGATGATAAAATGTTGTAACTTTTCAAGTATTTTATAAATTACTTTCTGGATTTTCACAACAAGAATTATTTTATAGAGATCTTCTTACTACTGAAGTCTCAAGTTTAAATATTGTTTGTGACCCTTTCAAATTTCACTTTATTCTAAGATCCTCGTAGTGTGTAAAATGCAAATGACATTAGGTTGTGTAATATAGTTTCAGGGTGTGCTTAAAAATAATAACTTTAGCACTTCACAGAGGTGATAGAACTTGTGTCTCTCAAAATGGCAACTCTCTTCAGGATTGCTGAATAAATCTCATTTTACAGAAGAAGGGGACTGGATTTTTTTTCTCTATTACATTTGCCTCTGATGTGAGCCACTGTTGGATAATATGATTTCATTGATATGGGGTAAAAGAAAGTGCTTGTTGCCTTATTGGGTACAGAATTAGCATTATTGATTTTTTTTTTTTTTGTTGTAATTAATCAAAATTTATGTCATCACAAGTTGTTATCATACTCCTCTACTGGAAAGAGGTACGCTCAAATTTGCCCTGCTCCCAGTGTGTGGCTTTTTTGCTCAGTTGGTGATGCCTGGGAAGCATGGGTTGAAATCCAATTTGAATCTCAGGTGTTCACCTAGAAAAACAAAGGCCAATAGTAAGCAGCACCATGCAGGCAGATTGGTGAGAAATCAATGGAAGTTTATTTCCGGTTGTGTAATGAAACAACCCAACCTGTCTCAATCTTCCCTTGCCTTTTCACTTTCCTGCTACTAATGATAATTGGCTCTGTGTTACTGAATGCCTGGTAGAGGCTTCCCTGTTCTTTGTGAGAGAAGGCTGAAGGTGTGGTCTAGGGAGGGGAAAATGTTTATGTGGACCAAGGTGGGTGGTGTCTTCCTCATCACCCCCTCTTCCCTGAACCACTCATCAATGACTCATAGCCTCACATAGGGTGGTCCTAACTTCAAACAGAAGCCTCTTCACTAGCTGGCCTTAGGGATAGGCTATTGTTTATTTGGTGAAGAGAATGAAATGATGTTCATGTCTCGTATTCCTTCTGCATTCTCTGGACTATTAATTTTTGAGGTTCATTAACTTGTCTTTTCAGAAATGTTGTCCCTCTTCAACAAATAGTTAAACCCAGTATGGTCAGTGTTTTGACCAGAACTCCATTTTATAGAGAACTATCACTACAGAATATATGAAGATCCACTCCTCGTCTCATTTTGTAAAGGGTAGTCAAGAGGACATACCTATGGGAAGGCTTAATTATTAGTTTCAATACAACAACATTATGAGAGTGCTAGTTGTGTCAAATCTACCCACACTACAACCATTACAACTCTCAAATATATTGTAAATCTGGTTGGAATCAAGGTGGAGTGATTATAATGTCACATAAAACAAAACACAGTGTTGTCCTGCACAGTTTTTTTTATTTCAAACCTTTTTTTTAATAACATGGTACACACTTCCTTGTAGCCTTTTTTGATAACACAAAGCAGTTACACTGTAAACTTTTGGAAGAGTTTCAGCTTAGCACAGAAGTTCTAACTACAGCTTTTATTAGTGTACAAATTCAAAAGAGATGAACAAAGAGTGAAGAAAGATCACATTTCCATGGCTTCTCCTGTTACTCTGGTCTCTGTTACTTCCATCACAATGGGTTTTACATCTTTAGTTAGAACAGCTGTGGGGATGTGGTAAAAAATGAATATGTCAGATTGTGTTTGACAGCAGAAACAATAGTAAGCCACAGACAGACTGACAACTTTGAACTTGGAATAAACTTTCCTCCAAATTCTCAATGATCCCTTTTGTACAATGAATTGTGCATATTATTATGGTGCTTTGCAATATTAATAGAAATTAGGTGTAAAATGATGTACATTTTGTAAGCTGTTATTGACAAAGTGGTTGAGGTTCTTTCATGTTTTTTTTTTTTAAGATCAACAAACTTGAAAAGAATTACATTGGTCTCTTAGAAATTTTACAAGGATGAGAACATGAAAGAAGAAAATTTGCACATTCAACTATTAACTTTCATTCAAATAATCAAGCATACAGTTAATTAAGAACTTGCAAGGGCTAAGCTTGATCTTTTTCTGTGACTTTAATTTACTTTAGTGGGTCTATAGGAATAGTTCTTTATAGCAAAGTGTTACCAGTCAAACAATTTTTTTGTTGTTGTTGCTTTTGATGTTCAGTGGTTCACACTTGCAACAAACCTGTAGTGCCTCTCTTGTAGGAGTACTTTCCTTGTCTGATGCCCTTTTCATTGGCCACATCATAAGGCCTGAGGTATTGTGTTCCTTCTTTGGTTATAACACATAGATCAACATTACTGCCAGATCCCTAAGGAGCAGATTACAGCCAGAAAACCAGTTACACCTAATAAAATAATTGCTGCACAAGGTATGAAAACAAAAATATGGCCTGTCAAGAATTGCAAGGTTCATTTTTATCATCAAGGCAAAAATATACTCACCAAATCATTGAATATTCCTGCAGCAATTGCATCACGAACAAGTTGTTTAGCATCCTCAAGCTAAAAAAAAAACAAAACAGAACAAAACTATAAATCCAGACATAAATAGTAAAGCCCAAATAAGTGCAACCACTCTCACAATGACAATGTTAACCATGATCATGTGAAAGTCAGTGTAAATTATATAAAGTTTTAATTAATTTAAAGTGATTACCTCCATATCAGGCTTGTATCGTGACTCAAATACAGACATGGCAGCCAAGGAACCAGAACCTTAAATTTAAATAAACACTGAAATGTTACTACCGGTAAGACATTTATCAGAATCACTTTTCATGACCCTTGACATAAGTGATGACTTCCAGTCATGATATCAAGAAGCTGGTCACTGTCAATGTAAGCAGTGCTTTGCAGGACTACATGTTTTTAATGAGATGACAGCAACTTATATTCAGCTGTTACTCCAGTTCAAACCACTAACTGAACTAATGCCTGGCCTGTACATGTGCACATTACACATGAACAAAACCACTTCAGTGACTTTCTTTACTTATGTGATAAGATATGAGCATCTAACTGATGTTTACTTACCCATTGTGACATATGGAAGCTTATCAGTACTTCCATGAGGGTAGACAGTATGAAGTGTAGGGCCATTTAAGTCTACACCACCAAGCACAAGTGCAGCACTGATGTACCCTTGATATCTGTAGAATAAAGAACAGCATGGACTAAGTGACGTCAATTATCAAAGAAATAAGTACAAGGAGAAATGTCCTATAAATTATAAAAAATACTTTTATTGACATGCATCATGAGTAAGAATTGCATTTTTTTAATCTATCTCTAGAGATTAAATACCTGAACAGCAGCTGTTTCAACATACGTAACGCAGTAACAATCCTGGCCTGTAAAGGAAATTAATTTCAAACACTGAGCTATCTCATTAAATCAGCCAAGGTTTAGACTCTCCTTCCAAAATCAGCAAATCCTTTTGCATTAAGTGTTATCTTTCAAGGAACTCTTACTTTGTGCCACTTCAGTAAAATATCAAGTTTACAAATCATAGTTCTGATCAAGGAGAAGTATTGTTATCTTCCCTAAAATGTGAGATGTGAATCATATCTGAGCAAGTCTGTATTACATCACTAGGCTCATTGTCATTCATATAATTGGCAAAGGAGAATCCAGTTGTTCAAAGGGCAGATAATGCTATCCTACAGATAAATTGCTATTCAGGAGATAAGTATTAAGGAAAAGTACTGCGCTATCCACTGGATAGAGATTCATCCAGTGGAAAGCATTACCCATCCTTCAAACAACCAGGGCCAGAAGTAAATACTATACACATTTACCTGTCGTCCAGTGGATAAGCTATGGAGCTGAATGTTGGAGGAGATAAGATTTGTAACATACTCTGTATCAGCAGCAGTACCAGCCCCACAGCAGCTGAAAAAGACAAATTGGAATAAGCGATTTTTATAAACTAGGAAATAAAAGGAAAACACCAACCACCAGGAAAAAATGCTGTTCTAATGCACACAGGTACACAAAGTTAAAAGTGTATCACTATACAGTGTAACCTGACAGAGGCAAAAAAGTTGAAGTACTTACTAAATATTGGGAGCTATGTAGTGGATCTTGGAGCAGTTTTTATCTGCAACAACTGTATCCTTCAAAGTAACAAATAATAAACATGAAAAATAAGAGTCAAAATCAGAATTCACTGAATGAAAAAAAGAGAGCCACAAAGAGTAGCAGGCATATACATGCAGTTAAAAAATGTAACTTGTTCTAAAAAGTTCTGACTATTTTTTGAACAGAACAACAACCAATGTGAGTGGTTATTAATGTTGTACCATTTCTAAAAAAGAAAGATTTCTGAAATAGACATCTTTCAGAATGGAAGCCTCTACCATGATAATATGAGTGCACTAAAATTTGCCCTCAAAGATATTATTTGGTACTACAACTCTACTGTATTTCCACAAAGAGAAGCTACACGTAGCAACATTTCTTTCCAATTCGCTCCTTGATTAAGCGTGCATTTCTTCAATAAAAGAATACAATGGTAAAAAATAAATATTACCTCTGCGATTAGGGATTCTTTTTAAAAATGGTACGTTATGCGTAGAGGAAGCCTTACTTCATATTTCATTAGACCTCAATTACAGTTTCATTGGTGACCAGTTCCCAATAAACACAAATCACAAAATAATCCAAAAATGTGTTTTAAAAAGTTGTGCAGTTCTTCAATAAATGAATACAATGGTGAAAAATAAATATTACCTTTGCGACTAGCGTTTCTTTTTGAAAAAGTATAATGTTATGCGTAAAGGAAGCCTTATTTCCTATTTGATTAGACCTCAAAAATGCGTTATAAAAAGCTAATACTAACCTCAGTAGCTCTTGTATCAGCACCTAATAAGACGCCATCCTACAAAGGTAACAATTAGCAGATTCAGACCATCCCTTCTTTCACTACAACGCATTACTGGTTTTACATGTGCTCACGACAAAACGTTATAAAGAGTTGAATAGACCACAGATCTCGAAGAAGAACCAATTCCGAAGACATTTGTTCCTTTAAACCCGCTAATCACGAACAAATCGATCACTGATCAGGGCGAAATACCCAATAACAGGAAGATCAAATCTAACCTTGAATACAATTCCCGCAATAGTTGTACCAGTTTTTCTTGCTGTGGGCAGCTTAGCGCCCATTTTCTCCAGTATGGCATTTCTACGATGGGAGCAAAAAGTTAGAACTGAAAGAAGGTGAATAAAAGGAAATTCGACATTCTTAAAATTCAAACCTTTTGCAGTTTTCGAACGAAAATCCGCCATGGTTTTCTTGAGCAACAATTCCCCCAACAGCCGCCATTTTGGAAAATTTTCGTGGAGTCATCCTTAGTATGCATGTACTTACTATAGAATCCGCTGGTACAGTGTGGACTCTTTTACCCAGCCCCACTCTTTTGTTTTCGGATCGAATATGGCGGAAAATTTTGAACAAATTTCTTCTTTTAAAGTTCTCGACTCAATTCAAGTCGAAAAGTACCGTTCCAAGAGAACAGACATTAAGTTTTGCTTTGCTAAAGTTCCTGGGCCTTTGGTTAACGGTTTCCTTTGTCTCGGTAAGTTGAGAGCAGCAATCATTATTTTGTTACTAAGCCGCGAGTTCCTACCTATTTTGGGTTTCATCCGCCTAGCAAACTTTATCAAAAATATTTCCTTTTAGAAAAAGAAAAGAAACAATTCTGGAAATAAAACCCCAAGCTCTTAATTGTCTCAAGTAGCGTGTAATATTTCAAGGACATCAATTATTTAAAATGACTCATAAACTTTATGAGTCAATTTAAATAATTGATGTCCTAAAAATGTCCCACGCTCACTAAAACTTAAAAGTTTGTACAGTGCTACACGTGAAGATGTAGAATGCACGAGACAGTAGGGTTAGCGTCAGCTAAGAAGTTTTAAAATATCCAAGGCCTGAAGGTTTCTATTTTCTTTGGGTGTTAATTAGACAGTTTTTTCCTTATAATGTTCTTTAATATTAATAATTCTGATTTAAATGTTTAATTTCTAGGAATATGTAAATATTTTCTTAGTTAGGAATTTGAAGGTGAGATAGTTATTCATCAGTTCAGCAAGCATTTTTTCTGTATTGCAGCAACCGAGGCTCATGATGATGATGGTTTGCCACACACCTTGGAACACTTGGTATTTATGGGAAGTGAAAAATATCCTTTTAAGGTGAGATGATGCAAAGCCTGGATCTTGCATTCTCTGTGTTCTTTGTATACTGTAGTAAAATAGACAATGCAGATTAAAATTAATTTCAGTTTGAAGCAATTTCAAACAAGTATATATAGAGTTTGCCTTTGTTTTTCATTGTTTCATATGCCATTTTGGCTGTTTGTGGTTTAATTCAGTCTTTTCCAATACTTGTGCAGATTTAACAACCACTGTTTTGGTACACCTGTACCCATTAAACAGAAGTATGACTTTCACAGAAGAAAGAGGAGATAAAACTGAAACTATTTGGCCCTTTAGAAGTGTAAAACAAGAAAGGAAGAATTAAGCATATTTCTTTAGCATTAGCCACAACACTGGCAATGAAAAATGACACCACAAAATCTCAACTGTTATAACTTGATTGGGTTTATACAGTTGAGACTCAAAGTATATTTCAGAAAAATCATTACGTACATGTATATCTCATCATGGTATGGAACAAATGCGAGTGATGGCAAGTCCAAGATCGGGAAACTCCATGCAATGTTTTCCTGGAGTACTCTCAGAGAGAATGAGTAACAAGATTCAGGAAATTACAATTCTCTTATATTTATATACAAACTCTAGTAGTTTGTAGTCTACATTCTTTACACTGGTTCATATTTTATACTGAGTTTGTGGAATGGAGTTGTTGTTTCATACCCTGTCTATAGTCCTTGTTGCATGGTCTGCAGACCATGTTTTATCCTGACTGTAATAATGTACTTAAAAAAATTACATGCTTCTGATTGGCTGAAAACAACTGCATTCTCATGTAACATGTGTGCAAAGTTGTAACACAAGTGCAAATTACAAATAGCATGGATGCTTTCAAAATTTTGTCTGTCTTGCCTTCTGCAATGTATTTTATGACTGTACAATATTAACAATTAATAACATGATTTCTCTTGCAATTTGGTGTAATGAGCACTTGTAAATCTTTCAAAGACTAAAATTGACTTGTGCTTATTAACACTAAATTACACTCGAAATCTTGTTATTGCCTAATACTAAATGCATGCTCAACTTATCTATTTACTCTATGCACAGTATACTGTACATGTAATGTGCAACCTTATTCTAATAAAACAATTTACATAACTTGCAGGGTATGTTAGATTTATTTGCCAACAGATGCTTGGCACAAGGAACCAATGCGTGGACATCCACTGATCATACAGCTTACACCATGGAAACAGCAGGCAGTGAAGGCTTTCTGAACCTTCTTCCAATCTACTTGGATCATGTGCTTTATCCAACTCTAACTGTAAGGGACTTTTTAGCAATTTTGAGTTACAGCTATTGCAGTTTGTGACAGATTTGTGAATTGCCAGTACCCATTTATATACTGGGTGGAGAGGGGCACCATGAGAGTTAATTGTTTTGCTCAAGAACACAACACATTGACTCAGTCAGGTCTCAAACCAGGACTTCGGACCCAGAGTCTAGCACACTATCCAGTAGGGCCATTGTGTCTCATACACCCAGATACATATATACTGAAAATTTCTAGCCAGCAGAAGCAAATTTTTAATAAGAAAAACTGTACTGTCTGTTGAGCAGAAACATTACTATCTGCCTCTTTACTAAAGGAGCCAAAGGAATTAGGCAAATGTTTGAATTTTAAGGGAGCAATGAGCTACATGTGGCTTCTTGTGAGGAGTTCTTGGTATGACACAAGAGACCACTTTTTACTCAATCTTAAATTAACTAGAACATCTTGCTATAATCTAGGAATCAGCATATATTACAGAGGTTCACCATGTGAATGGTGAAGGCGAAGATGCAGGTGTTGTTTACTGTGAGATGCAGGGAAGAGAAAACATGGAGATATCAAGAACTTACTTGAATTTTACGCGTGAGATCTACCCTGGAGTCTGTGGTTATAAGGTGAAAGATATATCCTATCATATGCTTCTTGAAACTTGAGCTTCAAAATTTACTCAGTTCTCAAAAGGTTTGAAAATAAAGAAATCGAGCCTTGAGGTGAGACAGTCTTCTTACTTTTTAGCAGTTCTGTAAATTAAGATCAAACCACACTGGTATGAGGTTATGCTGTATAGCAGATTTGTACCCAGAAGAAAAGACTGCTTGAAAAATTCTGGTATTATTTGCAAACTTGCTCACTAATGAAACAAATTTACAATGTACATGACTGTATGTTAACAAGCCAAATCACTTAATGTAGTGTTAAATGTAGCATAAGGCTTTGCTGAAACTCTCTTTGTGATGATGGTGCATAAATAAGATTTTAGTTGTTGAGGAAAATATGATCTGTACTGCTCAAATAGATGAAATCACCAAAACTGAGAAGGGAAAGGATTGTGCAATGGTTGAATATACTTCACTTACAAGGCTGCTCCTCTTTTTTTAAGGCATATAGGTGAAGTTGTGTGGGCAAAATTAATTTGTGAAAAAATTAACTTTTGTTTATTTGTTGATTAGATTGGGACATCAACATTCATATGCTGTTTTTGTTTCATTTTATGACAGTCAGAGACAGGAGGAATCATGGAAAATTTACGGACAAGTTGTAGTCACACTAAGGTTAGCAACAATAATTTTTATTACAGTCAATGGTTTGAATGTAGGAATTACATTTCATTGCGTAGTCTGATAATCTGGATTAGAATAGTCCTGAGAAGGACTGTTGTTGCTAGAAGTGATTGCCGGACAGTTTGAAATAACCTCAGAAGAGGTCATCTTCAGAGGCAAGTGGAAGGCCCATGCAAGGCAATGTGATTTCCATACTAATTGTGGCTGATGATGTTTTTTTTTTCTCTGCTTTTACAGTGACATTTCTTGAAACATTGTGCTACTTATCCACGCAGGAGTTCTTTATGGAAGTGCTACTAAAAATAAGATAATTGCATGCTTAACATGCTTAGCATCTCTGATTAGATCCTTTTTGCTTCTTCAATATATGCAGAAATGCATCTTTGTCAATACCAAATTTACTCTTTTACTGCATTGCAGGTCTGTAACTACCATCAACAGTATTACCGTCCAGAAAATTTGTGTGTTATCATCACTGGACAGATTGATCCAAATAAAGTCTTTGAGGCTGTCAATCCCTTTGAAGAAAAAATTATTGGCAAGGTAAGTAACCTGTTTGTCCAAGTTTATTCAATCAGTCAATTTTGTGCGAAAACACAATTTTTGTGTGAAAACATGTTTTCAAGTTGTTGGTTAAACACGGTTGAATATTGTTTTCTTCATAGCAACTGCTTACAACGATGTTTGTCGACTTCAAATATAGCACATTTGAAATTAAAAGTTAGTGACTACTTGAAACTTGCTGGTGTGAATGGAATATTAGATTGTTCCAGGCGCGATAGTGAACGTTGCAAGTGAAAAAAAAGGAGGAGGGGTTGGGGCGGGTCGAGTAATGGACACGACCCGACCAGGTGGTCCCAAAAGGCGTAGGGAAGTTTTGTTCAAGAATTCTACAACTGTTCTCAACACAACCTAACTCAAGCCGTTTTTATTTCCTCCGTTTTTTTGCTTTGCCGTTACTATCGTACGGTTTACTACTTCGCGTGGATTTCGCACCGTTTTAACTGCTGGACACCTAAAACAGACCATCGTTGGCTTTTCCAACTTGTCTCTTTCCCAAGTCTTGATAAATTTTTCATTTAGCTTCATGACATACCATCAGTTCCAGAGTTGTGTAACTCAGTTAAGAACTTGTAATTATTGGCTCTCTTCGTTGTAAGATACCACAAAAATCTGCCATAAGGAGACTTAAAGCAACTAAACCACACGTAAGGTGCTTAAACCTAACATGTATAATATTCTGAGAGTGAAACAAAGAAGTTTCTTTAGCGGAGATACCATAATCGTCCACAGTGTAAGGTTCTGACCTTACCGACGAAACTAACAGTTAAAATTACTAAACCTTTAACTCCCAAGATCTCATTCGTAATTCTCCTTACTGTCTACCATACAGTTCTTGTCATGTTAGTTTGGAGAATTTGGTATTGGATCAACCAATAATCCCCCAATTGATATTTTTCTTTTTTCTCATCACTTTTTTTCTTGATATTGTATCGATATTGTAAGGAGAAATTGTGTCTTGGTCACTCATGGGAGTTAAAGGGCTAAGCCGTGTATTTGATTCTATGAAATAACTGAGATACTATGATCGCCCTGATTGGTCAAAAATCGATCATTTATTTCTTTGGTAAACCCATAGAGAAATGAAGTTTATGTCATAAAAGCACTAGAATGCACTTCACTCACTCGAAAAGTTTGTAAATAGTTCGCCTCTGGCTCGTGATTAACAAACTTTGCTCGTGTTCTCCCGGCATTCCGCGTGGGTTATTACGCCAGTATAGAACAGACAGAAAGTGCAGTCAATTGCTTAAACAGCTTTTAGATGCATTAAATTTGTCAATGTATTTTGGTTCATCATATAGAAACCGCTAGCTCCATATGTAAGACCATGGCAGACGCCAGTTCCACCGCTGGGTGAATCTGTTGACAAAATCATCCCCTTCCCGACTGAGGATGAAGAATCCGGTTCTATAATGCTGGGTTTTCGAGGACCATCTTGTGAAGATCATTACGGCCAGGCTGCATTATCTGTCATTCTTGACTATCTTTCAGACACATCTATAGCTCCACTGCAGCGGGAACTGGTTGAAATTCCCGATCCGTTTTGTAGTGATATTGACTGTGATGTACTGGAGTTCTTAGAGAGTGCTTTTATTATCAGAGCTGAAAATGTTTCATTTGACAAGCTCTCTGCCGCCAAAGAAAAGGTAAAAGAGGTTCTTGGAAATCTCGCAGAAGGTAGAGAAGTCATCGACATGGATCGTCTTAATGTAGTTATCCATCGAAAAATTCTAGACACCAAGAACAGGTTTGAAAACCGCCCTCATGACACGTTTGCGGATGTCCTAGTTAGAGATTTCCTTTACTCCAGCAAGTCAGAAGATCTTAAAGAAAGGATGGAAATAATTCAACGTTTGGAAAAGCTTCGGCAAGAATCGGTGACCTTCTGGGTGGATTTTTTAAAGAAATACTTCATTTCATCACGAAGCGTTTCGGTAAGTACAACCTTGAGAAATACCATTGAATTTAAGAGGTTAAGAGGGTGTTTTAATCCCCTATACCCTAGCATCTGTACCCATATTCTCCTGAAAAGGAGAATATGTTTAGCAATCGAGAGCTTCTTTAGTTGCTGATCATTTCGTTTATTTTCGTGACCTTTATGTGTGATTCAGGGGTGATATTGTAAGGAGAAATAAGATGCTAGTCACTCTTAGGGGTTACAAGGCTAAGAATTCATTTCCTGCGAACACGGGAGTGATGGAACAAAGGAAATATTGTAAATCCTCGGTTACCTTCTTACGACAGCGGCCAGGGATATTTTGAAAATTGACCACATAACTTTTTTAGATTACAGGAAAACCAAGCGCGCAACTAATGAAAGAAATGTCAGAAGGAGAAAAGAAACGAGTGGCTGAACAGCGGGAATCTCTTGGTGAGGAAGGATTGAAAAGGAAACGGCAGAGGCTGGAAAAGGCGACAGACGAGAACGAGGTAAACATTGATAAACTCATCACCAAAGGATTTATGTGGGTAAAGTACCTGGAAAGTCTATGGGTGAAGCGAGGAAATGCGTAAGGTTACCATGACAACAATGTGAGCCGTCGAAAAATACTTGCCAATACTCACCTGCCGAGCTTGTACGAATCTACTTTCTGTAGCGTCATGGTTGTTATGCTGAAACAGCCACATCCTAACTGATTGATTGATGTCAGAGTGTAACAAAGTACTTGCAAGTAGTTGCATACAGAGCTCTCAATAAGAGAGGGAAGATGGCCAAAACCGCCATATTTTTTCGGCTACTTTGACCTCCTTTTGCCATAATTCTGATGAGAAATCGTTCAATTATCGGAGTGCCATCGAAGCAATCTGCATAGTAGCCATATCCCAGTTTGTGTGAGTCGATTCGTCTTTCACAATGTTCTCGAAGGTTCGAGCAAACTTCATAGAATGCTCGGGACTAAATAGTTGCCGGTCTATTTTTTTAAACTGACGAAACAACGTCCACGGTAACTTGGCCGCACATTATTTCTGATATGACTCTTATTTTTAAACTTATTAACAACCTTGTGCACTTACCTATCGGTCGCTGTTCGCATCTTACAAAAAAGCGGCTGTACCTTAGTGCTCCATTGCCCACTTCTAGGTAGCTCCCCCTCCGGATATAGTGAACAGTCTCCCTGTGCCTTCCACATCCAGTATCAGTTTCCATCCAATCAAGATGTTCAGTAACAGGCGGCAAGATGGCTGCGATGATTCTGAGAGTGAAGCAAAGAAGTTTCCTGTATCGGAGATACCATATTCGTTCCAGCTGGACCACGTATCCACATTGTTTGCAAAGGTAGGACCACAAGTTTAGCTCTATGTTAACAATTTTGATATGCATACACAAAAAAGACTCGAGGGCAAAACCTTAACTGAAGTTGTTAATAAAATTTCCAAAATTATGCTTTCAGTCCTGTGAAAGGTACGACACAGGCTTATTACTATGCGAACACGTGTAGGAAAGAAGCTATTTCCAGCAGTAGGGACATTTAGTGACCGACCGGTCAACTAATGAACTGAACGAACGAACGTGCGAATGAGCCGTCGAGCGAACGAACGAATGAGCGTACGCGTGAACGAGCCAACGAACGAGACAACGGACGAGACAAAAAACGAGCCGACGAACGAGACAACGGACGAATCTCTTTTTTCCAAAAATATGTTCAATATGCTTCCTCTGTGTTTCTTTACAGCTTACCGTTTTACTTGATACAGCAGTCGTACCAGAGGAACTCAAACCTTACCTGAGCTTGTACCTAGAAGTGATATTCGAGTCCCCTTTGTTGAGAGACGGAGGTATGACGTGTTCCCTGAATCCCAGCACAAACATATCTTTTAGTCTGCACTTTTTTGAAAATGCACACTACCTGTAGTTTTCCTCTTTCAAGTAACCTTGCAATCAGTAAAGAATATTCTTCACACCATTATTGTGATAGAATTAACATCAGGTGCAGATGCATGTACATGCCTCGTTCGGTCTGTGTCTAAGAACTCAAACACAAAAGAAGAACGCGAGCACAGTTTTACTTCGATCGATCAAGGTCAGCATATAACATATCTCTCACGGGCTTCACGTGTCTTTTTTTTTTTTCTGTGAAGTAACACCTCCGACACATCTTATTATCTACCATCCGTAAGAAAGGTAGAAAACAATGAAAAGATAAAATCGTTCTGTTATATTTAAGTTACTGCATTATGGAGAAGTGTCAGGAGTCTGCGGGTCATTACCAGGTTGCGGACACCATCAGCTGTGTCATCACCGAGGAAGCGCCATAGATCTAGCTGAATTGATGCTAAATTTTCCATCAAATATTATCATCGTCATCATCAGATGAGGTGACGAATCTACCATCCAGACTTAGGAGAATTTCTCTAACTTCTTATGAACCGTTAAAAAACTTCGAGAAGAATACCTACATGATTAAACTGATTTCTTGTAACTTCTCATTTACTTGAATTTCAGTTCTTATTCCGCATGAGAAAGTGGTAGCGGAGCTTGCTGCAGACACTCTTGATCACGTGTCTTCTCTAGGACTGAAAGGAAGCAGATTCACGCCAGAAGAGTTCCCACAACTTGCTTGCATTACTCTAAAGGTTAGCTGCAAATATCAGATGATATTTAGTTTTGCGCTCTCCTGTGCTTCATAATAACCTCGAATACCCTACATTGAGTAAGAAACGTTACAATATGTTTGAAATAATGTTCTACTTGTTTCCTGCGAAATTCCTCCGTAGCTTGAAGTCGAGAAGTATGAGAAGGGAATCCACTGGCTACAAGATTTGCTGTACAAGGCTCAGTTCACGAAAGATAGGCTCGAGATTGTGGGAAAAAAGATGATGAATGATGTGGCGAGGTGAGAATGCTGGAAATAAGAAGTAAAACTATAAACAACTGACGAAGTTTTATTGTTTTGTTTTGTTTTTGTTGTTGTTGTTGTTGTTGTTTTGTTTATATCCTTTAAGTAGACGGGTTTTTTTTAGAAGGGAAGTTTACTTGGAATGTGAGCACAAATGATGTCCTTCTCCTTTGATCTAAGATCAAGAGTCTACCCTGTCCACCCCTGTGCTTTTGACTAACAATTACCAGGCATCTATCCCTCCCAAAGCATTACTGGGTCTTGGCTAGGCATTAATCCCCTTTTAGTATGAACTCGTATGTGGCCATGTGAAAACTTGGCAAGAGCAGGCACTAAACAATCTATGGTTTCCTTTCACACCAGCAAGAAGAGAGAAATGCGACCTGTGACTAAAGCTCTAATAAGAGACATTGTGTTTACTAAAGGTAAAATTAAGATTAAATAGCTTATATTTAGCGTTATAAATCCTGAAGAAGCCTGGCATAGGAATAGCAGGAATTGTGCGATAAACTTAGCGACAGTGCCTCATGAGAAACATTCATTAATTTTATAGCGCTTCACTGCTTTACTATGATTCAGAAATGCCTTATCTTAGAATCTCCTTATCAATTACTTTTTTTTTTGCCCCACTTTTCAGAAAGTAATATGTATTCAGCCAACATGGTGAGGCAGTACAGTTTCCTGAACCAGTTGATTTCTGACCTTGAAAATGATGCATCCAAGGTTTGTGAG